CTGATCGAGTCCTGAGTCTTCTGTTTCCTGTAGCTGCTGAAGTCTTTGCACACGTCAGTTATTTGTCGGCGCAGACTGAATCTGTGTTGGTGCTTTTATGTGTGAATCTTGCTGATTATGTACCAGCGTCACAGGCACGGACTCACGGAGCGCTGCCGCCCTCTTGTGTTCAGAAATAATCAGCCCCCACCCCCGCACCTGCACGCGCACACATCCTCCAACCACACACCCTTATTTTGCTCCACTGCGGTTTATTTCACACATCAAACATTTAGTAAAGAATTAAGCAAATACAAGTAACCTGCAATAAATGACAGGCAGTAAGAAAAGAAACTCTTTTAGGCTGCGCCCGCACCTACACGGGTGTTTTTCAACACGCAGCTGTTTCGAGTCACCGAAAACTGAGATTTTTAAAACTCCTTTTTGCGTTTACGTGGACGAGGAATACAGAGTTCATCACACAACGTCAAAGGTATGAGCCTTTTCCACGCCACGCTGTGTGCACGTTATTGTTTACATGAGATGAACTGCAGGACGGCAGATAGAGACGAAATACTGTTAATCTGACTGTCTGCAGCTTTACAGCAGTTACTGTCCGTCCATTTACAAAGGCAGAGGCGTCATTTTACATGTAGTTGTTTTTTCCTGTGTAATAATGTTCAACATCGCTGTTAATACCATCCATCCATCTTCATCCGCTTTACCCGAGGCCCGGTCGCGGGGGCAGCAGCCTAAGCATGCTGTCAATACATGTTTCAAAAATGCCTCTCTGTGCAAAATGGGTTCAAAAACATAAACAGCTGTGGGATCCTGTTAGTCTGTGATTTGAAGAGCCCAGCGCTGCTCCTGACCACAGGAAAACCAACCCTGCAGGGAGACCTACCTCAGCACCTGTGCAGGTGAAGCCAAAGGGCAGACAGGCTTCACCATGTTTTCTAGTCTTTGGCTTAGAATGAAGTTGGTTTGGAAACATGTTCAGCGACGCTTCATCTCTTGCTGTGCGTTTGTGTGGGAGCCCCTGCTAGCAGTGTCCAAGCATTGTTTTTATCCTTTTCATACCGTGCCCCCCCTGCCATGGCTCTGCGGCCCCGTAGGGGCGGGCCCCACACTTTGGGAAGGTGTGCATTAGGCCCACCATTATTACTTATTATTTAGACTGTGAGCTTACTGGGCTGCTCAGGGTCACGTATCCGTGGGCACGATACGAACCCCTGGGTTTCTCCTGATGTCTTTATTGGAGTGTGACTCGTGTATGAACCCTTGGCTGCTCGGACAGAGAAGAAAAGCACGGTGCATTTACCAAACGTGCTTCGGTGTTTTCCACACATGCATCAATGCCCCTCCTGTAGTAAGACACCTGCTCACTGGTGTTGGCTGGTGGGCCTTGCTTGTTGCTGTGGATTGATTCTTTTTGTTTGGCACACAGGTGTGCTGATGCAAACAGATCGTATCTACCTGCACGCGGTGACAGGCGAGCAGGTTGATTTATGCAGAAGGAAAGTGAGCTGATTAACAAGGAAAACCAAGCAGCAGAGAACATGTAAAGATGAACAGTGAAACCAGGACACACGTGTCCAGGGGCCAAGAGGACCTCAGTTTGAAGCAGCTGTTATAAACATGTCCTGTTAAAAATCATCTCATCCTCTACATAAAGAGAAAATCATTTCTTTATTTTCTTTGGGCCAGTGCACAGCGCTTTACACACCCAGTCACACACTGTAGATACAATCATTTTGCTGCTGTGTAATCAGCCTTTCTTATATACATCATCTCATCATATTTGGAATAATCTCTAGTAGAGTCTGTTTCTTAATGCATTTTCTTTCAAATACAGTGAGGTTTTTTAATATTGTAATAATCCATATTCATGCAGATATGCATAACAGATCGCTTTTAGTGCAAAAGCTGCGTGTCCCCTGGCGAGCTCGTTCCTGCTCATAGCCAGCGCGCTGTGGCGTCACGGGCGATCGCTGGTTAACGGTCATCATGTGACGCATGAAAGCCAGATTGTTTCATTAAGGAAAAGTGGTGATGAATAATTTTACACACACACATTAAAACAAAAAAAGCCTCAAGTAAAGGGCGCTTTGCCCCCCGGCGCCTGAAACAACATCCCTGTGTTAGCTGCACACAGCAGCCTCCTCCTGTAATTACAGAAACTCAACACTGGACACTCAATAACTGAACAGGAACTGAAATCGTCCAGTCACGGTGCCCTCAGCCAACAACAGTTCATTCATCACTGAGGCCAAACAGGAAGAGGGGGAGGGCCCTGTCCTCTGTCACACAGACAGGAGAGCCGACAGCGTTAGCAGACACTCTACTTTCAGTGTTGAGAAAGACTTTGTTCCACTGAAAGCAGCTTCAGACCTTTTTCCATGAAGCGTGAGATGAAGCTGTGTGAGCATCTGGAAGCTCTGAAAGAGCTCGAAAAGGAGTTAAACATGAAGTTCAGCCTGGATGTACACAAGCATGCTTAAAGCTTCCTTTGTAGTCTTTTTGTCATGTGACTGCACATGAAAGGGCCTGCACACATGCACTCTGAAAACCGGATGGCTCCCAGTTCACCAGTGCCGAATGTCTGCTGAGAGAGTTGAAGTGAATAACAGAGTTTCCTGTTTTATAGAGCCTATAGCTCGAGCTGGACCAGGTGACCCTGGGTCCTCTCTTAGCTAGCTGCAATAGCTCTGCATCCCATGATGCACTGGGTGTTTCTCCTTCACTCTGTTTAATCATTAACTATCAGTCTGTCCCCTGTAGTATGTAAACGCTCTACTGCATTACGAGCATGACACGAAGTATAAAGGGTTTTATACTGAGCTGCAGGACGTGGACTCCAGGCAGGAAGGACGGAGCCCCTCGTTGGGGATGGCAGGCAAACACATGATGCAAATGTGACGCCGACACGAGAACAGACAAAAAGAGCACGACACCAGAGGAAGGTCCAGTCGGACTTTATTGGTTTCTATCTGATTAAATGAACAGATGAAAAGTTGACTGGAGGTAAATTTATGGTCGAATGTTATACATCAACATGAGATCCTACAGATTAAAGCCAACATCGTCATTCATCTAAGCCACCGAGCTCTGCGGGAACTCCGTGTTTTTGGACAAATGCATGGACATCAGGCCTGTGGAAGTTAGCCGCCTGTCAGCTCTTCGTTACACACTCGCCTACATTCACGGCCAGAACATAAACTCAGAGTCAACCCTTAAAGGTCGCAAGGCAAGACGCTGACAGCCTACAAAGGCGTACTGCATTGCTTCTGATAAAGACTCTCTTACACTCATCACTTTGGTATTGCATTATACATTACAATATTTTGCAAAGAAATAAAATGTACAACTGCATCAATATAAAAGTCTTCCAACATGTTTTATGGTTGCAAACATTCAGAGAGTTGCCAACAAAACAAGAACAAACCCTTTAGTTAGCACCGTCGCCCTTATAACAGGCCAGGGTCTAACACACTGGACACGAGTCTACATTCAAGGCGGAATCAAAAGTTAAAGGCATGAAACAAATAAAACCCAATCACACATTCGAACGATTTAAGGAGGTCTCCCACGATCAGCTGTAAAAGAAATAAAGAGGAGAGGTTTCCTGGAGTGCAGCGTTTTCCTTACATAGATCACAGCGAGGAACCATTTTATTATTAATGTTATTATTAAGGACATGTCTGAGGCTCATGGCTGGCACTGCTGAAGCTTGCTCATACAGTAAGAGGAGGTTGAAGGACCCGATCTGTACACTCCAAAGAACTAGCTGCTAAAACCACACAGGCAGCGATACAGAGGGGACAGACGGCTCGCTATGCCGCGCACACAGACTCCGTGGAAGTGTCCCATGGCTTGTTTAGAGGTATCATTTACAGCACACTAAATATTTTCATTGGCCCTATTGCTACGTTCCCCTAAATTTGATTCTAAGGCTAAGACAGAAATACAGAAGCAAGTGATGAAAGCAGATTACACAACAGTCCCTAACAGCGTTTCCCCTTCACTCAGCCAACACGAGCTAATAGCTACAGCCTGCCCCTCTCATCTCATACAACTGACTGATACTACAGGGGTGCGGGGCGGGGGAGTGCTATGGGCCTGATGGCGGTCATGATTCTTCAACCTGGATCTTGATCTCAAAGCGTCCCTGGTAGCGGTCCTTCTCGCTGTAGTCGATGTTATCTCCGAACACTTTGCACTCGATGCGGAGGTCAGTGTTCCGGGTCAGGTTGGTGAACTGCAGCGCCACCAGCGGCTGCAGGTACTGCGGGTGCAGCTTCTTGCCGTAATAGGGGTAGTACTGCAGGGGGAACCCTTCACCGATGCCGTAGTACTTAATCTCTCCGATCTTATCAGCGTCCTCCTCTTTCTGGAAGAGAGAACGTGCATACATGAATTCGTTGTCAGAGGACAGCGGGAGCGAGGCCATGCTACATGCTGCGTGCTGGCTGTGCGTACCTTGCTGGTGCAGTAAATGGGGATCACGTTGGGCTGCACCTTGGGTTGAGCCTCCTCAGGAATACTCTCATTAGAGGTAGGAGGCTAAAGAAAGAAGACGAGTTAGCCAAACCGTATGAGCGCCGACCGCTGCTGGGCAAGTAAGGTGACATTTTCATTTTCTACCAAGCATTGCACTGCTTTGGTCTCCAAGTAAACAAAAGAAGGCTAAAGTTACCCGCGGGCGGTAGTTGACAATTCTGTTCAGCTTCACAATCAGACAGGGTTTGCCCTCCTTGAAACCAAACTCTGTGTCCTCCAAGCCAGAGCAGGGTCCCAGCAAGGCCCTGGAGAAGCGACAGGCCTTTCGGACACCCACATCACTGTCCAAGTCACCCCTGTTCTTGTAGTCTGCAGGTTGATCTAGAGGAACAAGTAAAGGGTTACGTCTCCTAAAGTTGGGTTCTTCCAGGTCCAACATGGCATCTATCATAGTGATGGAAAGGATCCCAAACCACCACGTACAAGCTCAGCCGAGCGGTAATGCACAGATGTGTCGGACAACAGCACTTCCTGTTTGCAATCACATTTCTGTTATTTTCCAGCAGAAACTAGTTCAAGTGACGCTTACCTCCACAGTCTTCAAACTTCATCTGGTCTTTCTGTTTACTCTCATCGTACTTGTCCAGGAACTCCCTCAGAGCCTTCGTGTGAGGCAGGAAGGTCTCCACGGCTCGGGGGTTGAAGGCCATCTCAGCTTTATCTGACCGTGGGGTGTGTGTGAGGCCTGCAGGTGCACAATCACAGCCAACATTAACAACTATTGTGATGTCACCCAGTACGGTTTTCAAATCCAATCATTTTGGAGGCAGACGCCATATTTGCATAATGCTTATAGACAGATCAGGTGAGTGCGGAGACGAGTGGCTCAACAGGTGGAGCTGTCTAATGGCACTGAAGCCAAAGCTGCCCCGCCTGGTGCCTCCACTGCTGTATGAGACTGTGTGCACAGACTGTACATGTTTATAGCACTGACTTGCTTTTACAGCCTCAGGTGGCCATTGAAGGAACTGCAGTTTGGCACTTTCAGTGCTGCTCATCATCAACACCAGATCTACCAACACAATAAACAGTCCTGCTGTCACAGAAGCTCACAGGCATCCTGGCAGTAGCACCACCTTTAAAGCTACCAGACATTCAGAGTTACGGTGAAAACACACACTGCTGCCAACGTGCAGAATCAGTGCAACATCGATCTCACGGCAGCATCCGAGGGACAGATAGCGTTTCCCTCGGCTTTCAGTCATTGTGCTAAGATGGGCCGAATACAGTCTGAACTGGGACTCTGATGAAAGCGATGATGACTGGATATGAAAGCTGATAAGTGATTTTAAAGATAAACAGGGCCGCGCAGCAGTGTGTGCTTCGTGTGTAACATTAACGATTGCTACACGACTTTAGCTGAAGACAGATGAGGATGCAAAGACGCAAACTGCCCCCAGCTTCAGTCTGTCACAGTCTCACACACACAGCCGGCCCTCTGTCATGGAAACCGAGCCGTGGTGTGTACACAGCAGAGGCAGCGGGGCCATTATGCGGCGAGTTCTTCTCCACAACAACGTCAGGCAGGCCAGACTGAGCACAGGTGCTTTAAAGGCTACTTTCAGGTTTGGAAAAGTCTTTTTATGTGTGCCACAAGCAGTCAAACAAGTCATGCCCAGCTTTGTGGTTATTGTGTGTGACTGTGCTTCACGTCTGCACCTCAGACGCCCTAGATATCGCTCGCTGATCAAGAAAACAACTGCAAAACTTCAGATGATGTCATTAAACTACAAGCAACATAACAATCTCTCTATTCAAAGTTAAACCCTGAAATGTTGGAATAATAAGTGGGAATTTTGTCAAAGCGTTTTTGGGAATGTTGACTAAATCGTGATAAAATGTTGTTGTTCTTACTGTGCAAACTGTAACATCTCCTCTTACCAGCAGCACTTTATAAAGACAGCGAGTTCAGCTCATTGCTGCTGCCTCCACAACAGTCCCAGTTTATCATGTGACCCTTAATAAAGATTAACTGGCCATCCTGTGAAGAAGATCAGCAGACTTCCATCTCTTACCAGGGGGTGCAACTCTGTCCTGCCAGGTGGGCTTGTATTCACTCAGAGTGAGCAGCATTGCTTGGATGGTGCCAATGAAGATCCCAGCCAGGCAGCCGTAGAATATAACATAGAACAGCGTAATTTTGACTGTGGGGGGGAAAGGAAAGAGAGTGTCAGCACAGAGAAAGTTAAAACTGCTGAGAACATGGAGGAAATGGTGTTAGTTACTGCTGACTGGAATCAATATTTTAGAGGTGGTGCAGATGATATGTTACATGATCTTCAGACTAATCATATGGACCGTACAGCTGTGACTCAGAATGAAACTACAGCGCTAATGAGGAAACAGAAACAAGGTCGCCAAAAAGGAAAAGGTCAGAAGCCGAGTCAGCACAGGCGACTGGTTTCCACGGTTGGTAGAACGAATGAGACGCTGCACATAATGAATAAGCAACACAACAAGAACAGCCTCAAACCTGCAGGACAGACGAGTGCTGTGAGCAAGGTCACAGTAAGACAGCGCGCGAACGCCTCACTGTCACGTGGTAACAGCAGAGCTACTGCGTTAGACACTTTGTCTCCGTCTCCTAAGGAGACTTTCACAAGACTTCACGAAAATTAGCTGTTATAAAAAACTCAGTTAAGCCGAGTGACAGCAGAACCTCAGCTTCAAGCGCACCTTTGACCTGACAGAGCTGCAGTAAGCTGGCTGATAATAGAGTCTCCAGATTCATTGAGATTAATGAGTGGCTGGAGCTGCTGTGTGTGCACAGAGCAGACAAAATGACTGCAGAGCCATGCGTCACTGAGGGGGAAACACTTCCCAGCCATGAGTGCTTTAAACCTGACATGCCAACACTTCTATAGAAACAGTGGAAAACACACTTTTAAGGAGTTTGAGTGAACTCGGCTCACAAAAGACTCCCAACTACATCCCTGTATCAGTAACACAGAAACACGATCCTGTAAAGTCTGTCCTCACAGGACTTCAGCCTGCTCATCAGCACACTGCAACTCAAACCCCGAATGAATCCGGTTATGCTACTGTGAAGTTTATTCCCAGCAGCTCAAAGTCATCCAAACCCCACAGCCACGATTCACCTCGCTGCTTGCAGGGTGTAGGTGCACGCGCCTGTCCTCACGGTGTCACAAGGTCACCTGAACCAGTTATGTGACATTTTACCGGAAGTCGTTACCGGCAAGGGCATCTTAAACTCCAGCATCCCCCGGGCACTACGGCCCTCAGTGCCAGGACATCTGTAGGACACACACTTCAGTTACCACACACACACACACACACACACACTGATTCTAGCGATTTAAACTCCTTAATTATAGCGTGCACGCTCACGTGCACGCTCACCGGTATCGCAGCACTGCGCATGACACACTGAAACGCATCTGCACTTTGCGATGACCTGAGAAGGACGAACCGTAGTCCCCGCTCAGCTCGGGTCCAAACCGAGCACACGCCGGACTGAACCGGGAGTCCACAGAGATGAAGCGGTGACATTCACACGAGGGGCAAGGACATGCGCACTGCCGAGAAACGGGAGAAGAAAGGTCGAGCAACTTAATGACCGCATTGTTCCTCGGACTACAGCGACACCTGAGCCTGGCTCCTTCACCTTGGCTCACCTTGGACTCTGATGCAGTTTTAACCCTTTGCCTGCCCGCTTCGCACCTGCCGAAAGACACCTTGACCGTTTTACCCGACAACAATCAGCCAGCGCGGACGACTCTAAGCTCCAATCAGCGCGCGCAGCACCGGCTCTTCGCACTGCAGCGCGCACGCGCTCCCTGCACGGACAGCACGAGCACAAACATCACGAGCCTGCTTCACTTAATGAGCTCAGCGGCAGCTCGGGAGTTGTGTGCCGTGTGTTAGTTACAGACACCCAGAGAAAGTCGGCTCAAACAGGTGCTTGGAAACACAGACGGCCGTGAACGCGCGTTTGCCCAGTCTGCCCAATACTCACACCAGCTGCCCCCGGTACGGCCGAGCAGCTCCCCTGTCTCCGAATTCCACAGGAACTTCTTCCATCCGCCATCGTCCTTCTTATCGGAGGGCATGTTGCTATAGTTCCTTTAGTCGTCCCGGGGAAGAACACTCCGCGTGCTGTAACCAATTCCCAGCCTGTCCGAGAGGCACCCAGCGCAGTCCTCCCTCAGGCTCCCCAATATAAGCGTTCGCCCCTGACTCCGCCCGAAACTCCAGCAGTTCACCTAGGAGGAGG